GAAACAAATGTGATTTGATTTGTTACAATACTTGAATTATTTTTCTATTTAACTTTACAATGTAAAATAAATCCACAAGAAATGGAGACATTGGGCATATGAGATTAGACTACACAGCAAATAGTGAGACATGTGGAACACATGGTTTGATTACGGTACAAATAAGAGAACAATTTCATGTTTGTAAATATCCAAGTTTATAGGATTATAGAGCATCACCTCGCTCGTATACACAAGCATGCAATCAAAAACAATGCCATTTCCCAAGTAAAGGGATTTTGAGTGAATGACAAGAGATTAGTTTAGTAAGACCTCACAAAAGCATGAGGGAACTATCTGGGGAAAATTGAATTCTTGGCCTTTACAATCAGTGCCATATATCCCGTAACAGGGAATGTGAACAACAGCAAGGGCAAAGTACCTGTAAGGTGTACTAACGCACATCTTGTTAGCTTCTTATATGTGTATTTCCAGGTCAAAAGAAGATGGATAAAAATGGGGATCAGGGTAGCAACAACATACCGTAGACCTGCCCAAGGTGTATCAAGCACCAGGAAAGGTTGCACAGCCAGCTAAGAGAAGCCCAAAATATGTCAAGAGCTATTGAACAAAAAATTATAAGAGCATGTATAATGAAGAACAATAAAAAAAACTTACTTTCATACTACCTTATGCAATTAATATTATTTTATATAAATTTATATTTTTATATATTTGATCCTTAAATAGGACATCTAATAGAACTCAACTTCTCTAATGCATAAACATAACTAGAGTTTTTTAAAAAATTATATCAATATTATTTTACTTAATCCACATTTTATATAGAAAAATGTATTGTACAGTTTAAATTGTACCAAACTATATAACCATAGCCATTGAATGGAGGTGAACTCCACTTCTATCTAATAATCTCTATTTTATAGTTTAATTGAATTTGAACCGTAAAATATAATACATTTTCATGTTTTCAAACTATTAGTTTATAAATTTAAATTCAAATTATATTTTTAAAAAATCAACTTATATGATAATAAATCCAATTACATAAAAATTTAAGTACAAAAAAAATTGCACTCGAAAAAAATTAATGAAAATAAAAGTAAATTTTGTTTACAAAAAAACCATTGAAAAAACATATTTGTGATTGTCGGCGCTTCTTAGTTTTGGCACATTTAAGGGCCAAAACGACCACATCTAGAGAGGAAATGATTGATAGACCAAAATATATCCTTAAGTTGTCTTAGTTGATGAACAGTAACAATCATTTGAACTCTTGAAATAAACCTTCCTCATAAAAGAGGATAATGAAAAAATTCAGAAAGTTTCCCCAGCTCAACTCTAAATGAAATTGCGAGCCAAACTCTCAAAAGAGAGCAATTTAGCTATGAAAGACTTTTGCCTTTTTTTCCTTTTTTGAACAGGCACAAATTTAGGAGAGGTGTGATTTGAACCACCTAAGGTTTGAAGCGCACTTTTCTTAAGGTTTATGGTTAATTGGCCTTCTAGATTAGGTGCAGCTGTCACTCCTTTGAAAATAAAGAAAATGGGGAAGGAGAAAAATCTCCAACTTGAGTTTCTATAATTAGATAACGAGATGAATTAATATAGATATTAATGTGGAATTTTTGGTTTGATATTATTGATATTTGAATTAATTTTATAAGATTTTAGTTAATTTTATATAATTTTCATTATTTGTGTTGGAAAGGATTTACTTAGAAAAAATCATAATTTTTAGCACTAAATTGCAGATATCAGAAAGCTGAGGATTAAGTTGACAGAAATTAAAAATAAGAGACCATAACTGTAATTTTACCATTAACTAAAATTGCCAAAATTACGACACGGACTCTTCTTGGCGGATACAGTGAAGGTGAGGCGTTACCACCT